TGGGATTACAGGCGTGTACCACTGCACCCAGTTTGAGAATGGGTAACTTTTTTTTTGGTATCGGGGATCGAACTCGGGTCCTTGTGCTTGTGCAGCAGGTGGCCAAACCACTGAGCTAAATCCCCGGCCCAAGAGAATGGGTAACTTTTATTAAAGTGAAGTGTGAGTGAGGGGGAAGAGAAATAGGTGCAAAGCCTGAGTATTTTACAGTCTCTTTTTCTCCCTTCCTCCCTTCCTTCCTCTCTTCCTTCCTTCCTTCCTGCTACAGGGGATTGAATCCAGGTCTTTCATACTGAGCTATATTCACAACCCATTTATTTTGTTGTTGTTGATTGATTGATTGATGGGTTGAGACAAGGTCGCACTTTGTAGTTCAGGCTGGGCTTGAACTCACTGTGTAGCCCAGGCTGACCTCAAACTCACGGCGGTCCTCCTGCCTCAGCCTTCTGAGTGCTGGGATTATAGCCACTGTGGCTGGCGCTTTTTTTCCCATTTTGAAACAGAATCTTGTGAAGCTGCTAAGAGTGGACTTGAATTTGTGATTCTCTTGCCTCAGCCTCCCAGAGTGCTGAGATTACTGGTGTGTGCCACCCACCACACCCAGTTCTTAATGATTTCATGACACTTAGATAGTTTAGGGACAAAATTGGTGATACAAGTTACTCTTACCGTTTTGGGTCTACAGTATAGGAAAGAACTCTAGTATCCAAAGGGCAATTTTTAAAAAATTTTGGCATAGAAGGGATTGAAAAAGCTTTTGTTTGGGTTTATTATTCTTGACTTGGAACCAGATTCTTTACCGCAGAGTCTCACTTGTCCAAAAGAGTTTGGAGGATTACAGAGCGGCTGTAGAGGAAACAGTCACACGGTAGTGAAGGCAGGCTTTTACTATCCCTTTTCTTGAAATAAGTTCCCTTTTTTTGTGCTCAGTAAACATTCGTACATTTGCAAAACTGTGCCATGTAGAAGTTCTGAGTTTTGTGAATGCTTCCTGGGGAAAGTGTACTTCTAAGAACAGAACCTGCTCTTCCTGTGGAAAAGCCAGGCTGTGGCCTGTGGGATGGATGTTGTGTTGGAGGCAGCCCGGCCTAAAGCTTGCAGCTTTCTTTCAGCCTGGAATTTTCCTTCTTTTCTTCCCCTTCCTTCACACTAAGTAACCCATGAAACTGGTATTCTAGGTAGGATTTAAAATAATTTCTGTTGACAGTCTGAAGCCTCCTGCCAGAACGTTCTCGCCCAGCTTTTTTTTTTAGCTGTAGCGAGGATCGAACCCAGGGCCTCTTGTTCCCAGTTGCTCTACCACTGAGCAACATCTCTAGCCCTTTTTTGTTTGGAGAAAGTATCCGTAAATTGCCCAGTCTGGCCTTGACCTGGTCATTCTCCTGCCTCAGCCTCCCAAGTAGCTGGAATTGCAGGTGTGTAACCACTACACCTGACTGCTTCCTTCAGTTTTTTATTCCACATTTTCCTCTGCGGATTCTTCTACAGTTTTTCTCCTCTATTTTTTGCCTTCTTGATTCTGTGGTGTCTCTGTCTCTCTTTACCGTCCCGCCCCCTTTCCCCCTTTGGTTGGTGGTTTTTATGTGCATTGCTTTGCCTCAGTGATGGTTGATAGTGGAGAAGTTTCTGATTCTTATTCTGGAATGAATTGTACATATGTGCCAAAGTTGGGAGTGTTAGGTGTCACTCCTGGTGTGTTTCAGTTGGGTCTATATTACGGTTACAGTTGTAACCCAAGGAGAGTGGTCTCTTCTAGTCCTCAGATTAGTTTTTAGCTTTCATTTTCAGAGCTTGTCTTTATTTCCTAATCAATTGCTCATTTTAGTCCAGCTGACAGCGGAGGAAAAGGATTTACTTTCCTGGGATGAGTGTTCAGTGTTGTCTGTGCTGCCCCTGTTGTTCAGCGCTGGAGAGCAGTGCCACACTGGGAGTTCTCTCTGTGGAGTGAAGATGGTTGTTTTCAGGGAGCTTATATTTTAAGAAACCAAAATTTATTCTGATGTTTGAGGACATAAAACTGTTTCAGAAACTAGGTCAACTTCTCATTTGCTGTATCAAAGCACCTGCAGTTCCCATTTCATTGGAAGTGAAGTGAATCTCATTGAAATAAAGTAGCTGCTGTATATTCAGCACACTTTCAGAATAGAGGAGTTGATTTTAAAGAGCAGTTGGTGCCAATCTGATCTCTTTCCTGCTTCTTTGTTGAGATGGGAGGCTCTGTACCCTCCATGCTGTCCTGCTCTCCCTGCTGACTTCATGAACTGGGGCGCAGTTGGCACTCGAGTGTCCCCCAGCTGACCATCAGTCACATGGGGTGGGGCGGCCACAGGAGCCCCAGGGCACTGACTTCAGATCACAGCCAGGAACATGGACGGAATGAAAATGGAACGCAGCTGATTTGTTTTTCTGAGAATTAACTTTTTGTATTTATTTGAAGTAAAACATCTTCATTCCTTCAAAAGAAATTTGAGAGCATGCTGTATACTGTGGACTGGCGGGCGCACACTGATAAGCCAGGAAGCCCTCATCTGTGCTTGTCTTGGCAGAGTCCATGTCAGCGTGGTGAGGGGCAAATGTAAATAAGCAAGTAGTGCATGACGTGTCAGAGTGTGCTGCGCTGCTGCTGAGAAAGACAGGCAGAGCCAGAAGGGAGGACGCAGGGTCAGAGGTGCGGAGCGGACGGTGTGGGAAGGAAGCCCTGGTGGGGAGTGGCTGCAGACCCACGCCACGCAGGTGCAGGTGCCGGTGCCGATGCGAGGGCTGGGAAGGCCAAGACCTGGGGCTCCTTGTTACTGGGGACCAGGAGATGGGGGAGAGGGCCCGCAGTGTGCACGCGGAAGGGCACAGCCCTTGTTGTAGGCCCTTGGGGGACCTGGCTGAGCCCCAGGCAGCACAAAGAGATTTTTTCTCCTCGCTTCGAAGGCTTTTCGTGCTGCTCCTGGGTTGAGGAGCACTGGTCCAGGGCCCCCGCCTCGGTGCAACAGCCCCAGGAGAGGAGTTTGTGTAGTAGCAGGTTTGTCATGGAGGATGATAACATTAGAGCAAGTAGGAGTAAGTTTGTGTGGTTGGGAGCTGAGAGCAAATTTCTTTCTCTTAGCTACATAGTTTTCTCTGAATAGGAGGGCGGCAGCTGAGACCTGGTCCTCAAAGACAGAAGCTGTTGCTTTGACTAAATGCGACACTCGCCTCACTTATCTTCTGCTGCTGCTTTTGTTTAGTTGTTTTGTTTTTTGTTTTTTTGGTACCGGGGATCAAACTCAGGCCCTTGCGCTTGCTTGCGAGGCAGGAACCACTGAGCTAAATCCCCGGCCCTGCTGTTTTTGTTAACCAAAAGTTTTTGCGTCTTCAAAGCTCTGTGGCCTTTGGGATTTGAAGGCTTCAGGGCCAGATTTCCTCACTGTTTCTGGTTCTTCTCCTTTGTTCCCTCTCTCCTCCCTCCTCCTTTCTCCCTCTGTCTGGGGATGAAGGACCAGTTGACAGGTTACCACACTCACTTTTCCAGCCTGCACATCCTGGTCCAGGATCGTTCCTGACTGGCAGGTCTTTCTTCCCCTTCTGTGTGAATGTGTAGCTCACTGGGGCCATCAGAGCACCGTTGATTTGGGCAGAGCTGAGGAAGAAGCCGGCTATCCTGTGGCAACCCCGTGGAGGAGGCAAGGGTGTGTGATTAGCAGAGGACCTGTGTTGTGAGTCACCTACTCTCACTGGCTCAGCCAGCCCGCTGCTCAGCGGGTCTGTCTCTGTGTCTCCTCTTCTCTGTTGGGAGTTTTCAGCCCTAGTACTTGACCTGGTTACCCTCCCTTCTTCCCTTTAATCATGCTTATCTAATCTACATCCTGTTACTTAATATCATCCTCGGGAGATGACCTTAATCAAGAAGCATTTTTCCCCTTCACTTCTCTTCTTTGGTCAGGTAACTATCATCTTGCATGGGAAATGTTAGAGGCAATCACAGATTCCTTAAGATTTTGAACTTGATTTAAATACCTGGCTAATTATCATGATAGCGTATCTTTTTTTTTTTACGATAGTGTATCTTTTAAAAAATTTTTAAAATTTGTTTTTGGTTTTTTTGAGACAGGGTCTTGCTATGTAGCTCAGGCTGGCCTGGAACCCAGGGCAACCCATCTCCCCAGTGCCGTGGTTACAGACGTGTTACCCCCCCCCCCCATCCGGCCATGATAGCTTGTCTTTTGCTAAGTCTTCAGTGACACATGCTTCCTCTTGGAAATATTTTTCTCCACACAGGTAATGGGGAAAAAATAAGAACCAAGATACATCATGCACAGGTACAAGCACCCAATGATAAATGTAAATGTATCATATACCTAAAATGTACCAATAAAAGAATTTAAGAAAAAAAATTTTTTTTCTCCATAGCTGTTTTTTCTGTTGTTCTTTTTGCAGTGTTGAGATCAAAGCCAGCCTTATGCATGGGTTCTGTAGCACTGAGCTCCATCCCCAGCCCTTTCACCTTCCCCACAGTTCTTTGAAAGACATTTTGGTACCATACCTGCTTTTACTTAAGCCAGAAGTTAAAGTAACTTGCTTGGGTAAATGTCCGGCAACCCTTGAATCTGGATTTCTGGTTATTTCTCTTATATATTGTCAAATGAGCTAGAAATAACCTGAGTGTTGACTAAGACTTTGAACCTTGTGTTTTTTTTTCCTTTCCAGTACCAGGGATTGAACTCGGGTCTTTGCTCTTGTGAGGCAGGCGTCGGAACCACTGGGCTAAATCCCTGGTCCAAGACTTTGGACCTCTTTTGGGACAGAATATGGAACCAGTCTTTGAAAACGTGGCATGGCTCTTTGTTCCTTGAAGGAATGGTTTTGTTTTGCTTTTTGAGACAGGGTCTCCTCCGTAGAAGGCCCCTAGCCTTAATCCCTAGCCACTATGAGGACTTTTTAAAAACATGAATTTCCTTTTTTTTTTTGTTTTGGTACTGAGATCGAACTCAGATGCTTGGGCTTGTACAGCAGGCAGTGAAACCACTGAGCTAAATCCCCGGCCTCAAAACATGAATTTCCACACTGATGTGGTGGCACACGTTTATAATCCCAGCATAATGAAAGGCAGAGTCAGGAGGATGGCTTGTGAGTCCAGCCTGGATTCAGCAAGAGCCTGTCTCAAAACAAACGAACAAAAAGGGCCAGGGGACATGGCTCAGTGTGGAGGCCCTATGTACTGCTAAGAAGCAAACAACAGAAAAATGAGCTTAACACAGAATTTCTAGACCCTCTCCGACAGTTGAGCTCAGGGACTGTTTTTTTCCAAAAAGCTTCCCAGGTGATTGTGTTCTGATGGTCAGTTTCGAGGACCATATAACCTGAACCTTTGAGTTAGGCTCCATGCCGTTTCTCAGGTAGTGGTTATTTCAGTAGCAGGAGAAGCCCAGAAGACCTGCGGTTCCCACAGTAGACATGGGCAGAGGGGTCTGGACTGATCGACCTCTGTCCTGTGTTGCTTTTGAGCGGCAAATGTTACCCCTGGTGTGGAGGTTAGGCTAGCACTTCCCATGGTGTGGGGGACGCGCCTGTTGTGGGGAAGGGAAACTTGTAGGCCGCGTCTCCATTTTGAAATTGTGGAACAAATTCAGGAGAGGATGTCAGCATTGAAACTTAGCTGGACAATTTGTTTAAAACTGGACAGGAAAGGCCAGTTTACTTCCTGTCTGAAAAGGAAGTGCTGGCTTCCTTCGCTTCCTCCTTGCCTAACTCTGGCCAGCTTGGAACTTGGGTGGGGGAGAAGCTGGTCGTGCTGCTCACAGCCAGTTGCCTTTGCTGTAGGAAATTGTGTCTCCATCACTGATGAGGTGTGGCTGCCCCTCTGCTGTGTGCACCCTTGTCTCCCCTCGTTTACACGGGAGTCCTGCACTCGGTGTAGCTTTAGCAGGCCAGGAAACCTGATCGCCCAGATGTTGTTTTACATTTAGTTTGTTCACACCTCCCCTGTGTTCTCTGATATTTGAAAATAAACCAAGGAGTTGTAGGGAGGGACTGAAACCCATCTGACACTGAGGGTTAGGTTGTAGAAAGAACATGATTGGGCAGAAGGGAGTGGATAACAAAAGTTTTTTTATTTACCATTGAACCAAGAGCTCGTTCCTTCTGAGTGGGGCCAGTTGGCACCCTTCCTGCTATTTTAGGCCAGGCTTCTTCCAACTGACCAGGCAGTTGTCTGAGTGTTTGATGTGAGTTTGAACTGCAAGTCTTGGGAGGTGGGGGAGGGCTCGTGGCGGAAACAGCTGGTGCCTTCCTCAGCCCGAGGGCTGGAGGGTGAGGGGTGTGGAGGAACTGGAGCCACACAACAGAGCCCCAGGATCTGGTGGGGTTGAGTCTTAGGCATCCTCGTACTGTGTGGGATGTTGGTCAGCTGGAATGTAGCTGACTGCTCCCGGTCACATTCTTTTCTCTGCCTCCCCTTCCTCCAGTGCTGCCAGCTCTGGGCCCTCTGGAGAGTGGCGGAGAGTGGTGTGGGAAGCTGGACAGCCAGCGTTTCATCCGTCCTGTGGTGGCACGTCCAGCACCCTCAGTGACTTTCTCCTCACCCATTCATTACTCCTCGGGCTGGCTGTTCCCGGCCCTCACACGGCAGGGTGACTGTTTCTGAGTCAGCACTCCTTTCTGTCTCACCTGTTCGGGTGAAGCACAGAACCTGCCAGGCACCCTCTGCAGGCCACAGCAGCATTGATGAGGGCGTGTGGAGTGCCCTGTCTGGGCTGGGTCCTTCACAACTTTTTCTTTTTTAAGTGCCTCAGAAAACTGCTCCCTTAGACGCCAGCTACTGCTTTTGAGTTCTTGTGTGCACACTGGTGCTGGAGCCTGGTATATTTGGTCTATGCCATGAGCAAAGGAGCATCAGGTATCTCTTTCTTCTCTTGGGTTTTATTTGAGACAAGATCTTGTTATGTGGTCCAGGCTGGCCTCAAACTCTGAACGATCCTCCCAAGTGCTGGGATTACAGGTGTGTGCCACTAGGCCCAGCGTCAGTATTCTTGAGAGAGAAAGGAAGCCAGTCTGATTTGGTCCTGGGTAGGAGATTGAACTGAGGACCTTGCGCTTGCAAGGCAAGGTGCAGTGCTGCTGAACTAAATCCCCCGCCCCCTAAATAGGAGATCTTAAACTTTGGCTTTTGTGTGCTCCAGGACAGACTTTACAGTGGCCAAGACTTGCTGCGGAAGTTGTGTTCTAAGCTAGTAGTACTGTTGCTGGCTCTGGCTTTCTTTCCAAGCCTGGAATGGCTGACTGTTGTGTACATTCCCGCCCCAGTGCTCCCCCTGGTTGTACCAGGTCCAGGTGAGAACTGATCCTTCTGAATTGTGCTGGTTTAGACTGGGCTCCCATTGCATCATAGACTCCTGAGATTAGGGTTTGGTCCTCAGCGCTTTTAGCAGGCCCAAGAAAGGAGTGTGGGAGGATCTAGGAGAACGAAAAGGATGAGAGAAGATGAAGAAAGATAGCACAGTACTAGTTAGTTGCCTGGAATGTCCCTGTTGGAGATTTCTGCTGATACTACCATGTTTATGCACAAGGAATCAAGCTCTGTGGGCCAGAGTTCTTTGGGTTTAGGGCTGACTTCCAGTGGACTGTTCAGGATAATAGAAAAATGTATCATTTATCCCATTCTTAGATTCAGCCAAAGCCCCTAATTAGGAAGGGAGGTTTTCTTTTCTGACTGGGTTGCAGATCTCCAGCCGAGCCGGAAAGGCTGAGGTTGCTGTTGTGACCTCTCGGCTGCCTGCCGGCTGCAGTGCAGCTCCTTCCCAGTGGCCCTCTCTAGAGGAGCAGGGAACTTTGCCCCAGCACTTGATCAACTGCCACTCACTGGGGTGGAGTCTGCTGCCTTTGTTTGTTCTCGGTGGGGCCTGCTCAGGAATCAGCTCTGTGCTTGCAGGGAAGGCTTTGAAAGGCTCCGAAAGCCAAGCCGCAGAGCTGAGTGGTAGGGAAGGTGACATGATGGAAGATATGTCCTGAAGTACTTTTTCCGGTGGGATGTTGCATGACTGAATGCAGGTAGGTGATCAGATGGCCTGAGGACCGGTCCCACATAACTGATGTGAACATAACAGAGCAGCTTTAAAATCCTCAGCGTTACTGTCTCCAAAGTGAAGAAACTTGCTGAGTAGGAAGCTTCAAAGCACCCCACTCTCTGCAGACTCTTGGAGCCCCCTCCACAGTGCTCCAGGATCTGCTGATTCTTAGCAGCCTGAGCTTTGTCCTGTGTAGCCTTGGCTTGGGGCAGGGAGGAGGGTTGTTTTCCCGAACATGATAAGGAATGGAGCAGGGCAAAGCAGGAGCTCGGCTGGTGATTGGTGGACAGGATGCCCTGGAATGCGGCTGGCCTGCAGCCCAGAATCCAGCACTCTGTATTTGTTTGTTTCTGGGAGACTGTGGTCTGGTGCTACTGTGACAGGAAGTGAGAAAGCTGGGAGTGGGGGAACCGAGAGGGGCGCTGTCTTTGTGGCTCTCCGGTGAAATCCCCGTCCCTGGAGAGCCGCTCTGCTCAGGCCCTGCTGAAGAGAGAGCAGCCTTTGTGTGCCTCATGGGTCTCAGAGTGTCGCGCTCTCAGGGCCATCTGAGGGTGTGAGTTCGGGTGGCCTTGATCTCGGCCTTGGGGAGCTTACTGAGTTTTGTGTGTGTTACTCTTATTTATGGGTGGCTAGGATTTAATTAAGTAGGGAGTTCTAGGAGATAGATGTTAAATAAGGTTCCTGCGCTGTTTTTACTTCACGGAAGGGCCGAGACCTGTAAAGTGGGCCAGGCTTCGTTTTAGACCTCAGCCTTCAGTGTGGCATCTTGCTGGTGCAGAGCAGGGGAAGCCTACCCATTCCCTGGTTTGCAGAGAGCTAGGGAGCTGCTAGTAGTTTCCTGCATTTCCCCCTGTGTCTAGACTGAAGCGGCACCTGTAGCACTCTTTGCCCCCTCGTTGCTCCCTCTTGTGTTTTTCCTCCCTCTGTTCCAGCTGTGAAGCAGGCATCTTTTCTCACTTTGGGGACTGGGTGACCAAGTCCTCAGCTTCAGTCCTCAGCTTCTTGCCGGGCTGGCCTGCCCCCCAGCACACACACAAACACCCCTTTGATTGCCCAGGAGGCAGCTGCCCCTGAGGCAGATTGCTGACATACCTCGAGAGTGTGGAACAATCCCTGCCCTCAGTCTGATGCTGGCTGCCCGCTTCCTTTTTCCCACATCAGCTTGGCCTTTGCTCTTAGTTTAGTGCGACGTGACACTGTAATGAGAATAGGACTATTTGTGACTGTGTTTTCTTTTTTTTTGGTACCGGAGATTGAACTCGGGCCCTTGCGCTTTCGAAGCAGGTGCCGGAACCACTGAGCTAAATCCCCGGCCCATGATTGTGTTTTCTTTCTTGAGATGGAAGTGATCTGGGAACGGGGTCATGTAGCCAGATTTCTAGAGCAGGCTTGCTGGTGGGAAGGGAGGTGATTGATACAAAGGAGGACCTATTTTCTCCCTAGTATCTTTCCTCTTGAGTAGTTGTTCTTCATAAAAGAAGAGATCTAAGTGGAACGCAAGCTTCTCTTCCCCAGAATTGAGTAAGCTCTTGCTCTTTAAAGTGAAGCTAAGGAGCCTCATGTGGTGCCTCACGCCTGTAATCCCAGCACTAGGGAGGCTGAGGCAGGCGGATCATTGCTAGTTTGAGGCCATCCTGGGACACAGAGTGAGCTCAGGGCTGGCCTGACCTACACAGCAAGACCCTGTTTCAAAACAAAAACCAAATAAGTAAGTGAAGGTAGGACCCAAAGATTCAGCTGGTTCCATGCCATCTTGTTGCCCTCTCTTCTACACACACACACACACTCGTGTGCGCACACAGAGCTTTCTTTTGTTTATTTATTGGACTTAGAATAACTTTTAACCCTTGGAAGCATAGAAATTTGTACTCCTTTACTGTACCTAGGAGTGTAGAGTGAATGTCATGTTTCGAGCTGTTCTCGGTGGCACATGCCTATAGTCCATCCAGCACTTGGGAGCCTGAGGCGGGAGGCTGAGGCCAGCCTGAGACCCACCTAGATCACTCAGTGAGAGCAGGTCTCAAGATCCAAAAAATAAATCCAAATAGTGCCTTTGTTTCTACCACTTACTAGCCCATGGTCTTGGGCAAGGTCCTAATTAGTTCTGATGTGTGGTTTACTCATCCATAAAAAGGGCCATTAGCTGGGAGGGGTGGTGCCTGCCTGTGGTCCCTGCTGCTTTGGAGGCTGAGGCAGGAGGATCACTTGAGCCCAGGAGCTGAGACCAGCCTGGGCAGCCTACTGGTGGGGGGAGGCATTATCTTTGAGAGTGTGGTTGGAAGATTGTATGTGATAACTTCTAGGGGAAGATCAGTAATAAACAACTTCCCTTCCCCTTTAGGGCTGGATTTTCTCTTTCACTAGAGAGAAATACTGTATTTCCTGTGGGGGTGTGGTGGCATATGCCTGTAATCGCAGCACTCTGGGGGCTGAGCCTAGAGGCTTAAGGTCAGTCTGAACAATTTAGCAGGATCTTGTCTGAAAATTAAAAAGAAAAAGTAAAAAAGACCGGGGATGTAGCTCAGTGTGAAGACCCTGGGTTCAATCCCCAGTACTTAAAAAAAAAAAAAAAGGCATTTTTTTCTTTACCTGGACTTTACCACTTGCCTTGATACCTAGGGCGTGGTGGAGAATGCCTGAGGATCCCTGTGAGTGCGTGGCAGGCCGGCCTGGGCTACGGTGAGTTCAGGCCAAGTCTGAATGAACTCCATAGCAAACCTTGTCTCAAGGAAATGAACACTTCCTTGATTTCTTCTTTTTTTCTTAAAAACATTTTTTTTCTTTCAGTACCGAGTACTGTGGATTGAACCCAGGGCCTTTGCACTGAGCTATAAAAGCACAGCCGTCTCGAAGTTTTTTGCTCTGAGACCCTTTCTTACTAAGTTGCCCAGGCTGGGCTCAAACTTGCTTTCCTCCCGCCTCAGCCTCCCAGAGTGTTGGGATAGCTGGTCTGTAACACTGCGCCGGCCTTTTAGAGTTCAGGTTCTCACCAAGTCGCTAAATTGCCTAGGCTGGGCTCGAATTTGCAGTCCTGCCTCAGCCTTCCCGAGCTCTGGGGTCACAGGTGTGTGCCCCCCCCCTTTCTCCCAGGTGCTCCTCCATAAAGGGAGGTGCGTCCCCCAAACCTAAAGCCGGAAAGGAGGGGACCGTGTCTGATTGAGTGGCTCAGTTACACACTGTCACCTTTCCCAAGTTATCGCCAAGTAGTGGGGGTGCCAGATAGGAAGCGGGCGGGGGCGTTGGTGAGAAGCTGCCTCTGTACAAAAAGGAATGTGAACTCAAGCAGTTGTGTGACACTTAGCAAACCTTGGGTCAAGCCTTTCCAGGAACATTTCTTTCCGGCCGAGTTGGGGAAGCGTGAGGTCCCCCCGTTATTGTAGGATTTCTCTTTTAAGACTAGAGGCTTAAACACTACACCCCTTCCCACTTCCGTCAGCTTTTTCTCTCCCACTGTGAACCTGGCCTCCCGCCCTCCCTCCCAGCCTGTGGGAAGGAGAGAGGCCGGGGGTTCTTCCCTCCCCCGCTGCACACCTCCCTCACCTGCCCCTCCCTCCTGTCTTTGTTTCCTTATTGCCTCTCCCTGAAGCCCTGCTTCTCCTTATAAGGCTGGGCCGGTACCTTTGGCAGGGCTGCCCAGGGACCCAGGTGAGTGACTGTTACTGCTCAGACTCAGGATGGAGAGGAGACTGGCGCGGGTCGAGCCGAGCCGTCCGCTGCAGGGCCCAGAGAGCACGTGGGCAGGGGGAGGAGAGGAGGCAGGCTGGCCGGGAGACTGCGGGACTCGTCAGACCAGTCCTGGGTGTCCCAGCGCCTGCCCGGAGGAGCAGGTTTTGTTTCTTTCAGCCTGGGCCCCTCACCTTCCCTTGCTCTGAGCCAGCCCAGCGTTTAGCTGTTTTAGTTTGCTGTGGTTTGGGGTCCCACATTGGGGTGAGGGGGTATTTTCTTTGAGATGGGCTCTCTGTGGCCCAGGCTCATTTTGAACCCCTGAGTGCAAGTGATCCTTCTGCCTCAGCCTCTGGGTTGCTGGGACCCTGAGCGTGTACTGCAAGGCCCAGAACTCCTGCCCCTCACAGTGTTTGGGATGGAACCCAGGGCCTGGAGCTGCTAGGCGGGTGTTCCGCCACTGAGGCCACTGAGTTTCGTCCCCACCCCTTCTTAAGTGGATTTCTGATCCTCTTGCCTCAGCCTCTTAAATAGGGGGATTGTAGATCTGATCTCTTCTCTTCTCTTCTACTGAGAATCAAACTCAGCACCTTGCCTTGCCATGGAGGTGTGGTGCCACCGAGCTAAATCCCTGGCCCCTCCTTTTTTTCTACTATGTAGTCCAGGATGGTCTTGAACTCAAAAACGATTGTCCTGCCTCAGCCTCCCAAGTGTTGGAATTGCAGACATGTGCCACAATGCCAGGCTTTTTTATTTTTTTCAAGTCACGGTGGAAACTAAATCCTGCAAGGTAACTTTGGGTTATGATTATAAGATAATTTAAGGTGCCTGGTTGACCATGAAGAGTGTGTTATTCAGGCTGGCCTTGAACTCTGTGAAGCCCAGGCTGGCCTCAAAGTTGTGTCAGTCCTCCTGCCTCAGCTTCCCAGGTGCTGGGATCACAGGTGTGTGCTGCCACTCCCGGGCTCAATGTCAATTTACCTGGAAGTTTTTCTTGTTTTTGGTTTTTAAAGAGACAGGGTCTTCCTAAACTTGCTTGGGCTGGCCTCAAACTCCTGAATTAAAGTGACCCTCCCACACCTTCCCACTTCTGCCTCCCAGTAGCTGGAAGCAGGGGTGTGTAAAAACAACAGCTCTGTGTTCCACACTGTGGTCTGATGGTTTGTGCCGCCCTTTCCCAAGAGGAAGGCGGTTTGCCCACGGGGAGCCTTCCTCAGCTCCCTGGGGAGGCTCAGGGTGGGTGCGAGAAGGACTAGCAGCCTCCTGGGAACTCCAGGGGAGAGGCCAGGCCCGGTGGAGGCTGAGCCCGGAAGGCCTGAGCCTGAGGTGCGCTGAGCTGGCGAGGAGACTGAGGGAGCAGGGTGCCTTGAAATTTTGTCCTCTGGGTCACACCTTGTTGCCCAGGCTGGCCCTGGGCCACTGGGCTCAGGTGACCCATCCTCCTCAGGCTCCCCTGTAGCTGGGACTGCCCAGCTCTGATCCATGTCCATGTAGGGGCAGCCCGGATGCCAGGTTGGCAGGAAGAGTGTGTCTCCCATGGAGGTGAGGGGCCTGGAGCTGACCTGTGCTTCAGAGAGGGCAACAGGATGGCCGGCAGCTGGGGACAGGGCGCTCAGCCCCTGGACTCTGGCACTGGTCTCTGCCAGGAGCCACAGAAGGAAGACCTGTTGAGAAAATGGATCCCTTTGTGCGTGTGTGTGATAATCCCAGGACTCAGGAGGATGGATCACCATGAGTTCAAGGCCAGCCTTAACTACATAGCAAGGCCCTGTCTCAAAAAAAAAAAAAATTCATTATATATTCATTCTTTTGATTTAGAAACCAAAAGGCAATTTTCTACCTGTGCATTTGTGATTGGACAGGAATAAGTGACTTTGAGTTTTGGGGCAAATCCTTTTTTGGCTTGAATGTTGTGTCCTGTAGTTCTGTAGTATTACATGTGCTGTGCTGTATTTTATTTTATTTATTTATTTTTTTGGTACCGGGGATTGAACTTGGGACCTTGCGCTTGTGAGGTAAGTGGCAGGACCACTGAGCTAAATCCTGGGCCCCTGTATTTTATTTTTTTGAAACAAGCGTCTTGCTATATATTCCAGGCTGCCCTTGAACTCACTGTATAGCTCAGGACAGCTTCAAACTCATGGTGATCCTCCTGCCTCATTCTCTTTAGTGCTGGGATTACGGGTGTGCACCACTATGTCTGGCTTTTAGTTTTTTTAAGCCAGGGCCTTGCTGAGTTGCCAATGCTTCAAATTTTTGATCCTCCTGCTTCAGCCTCCCAAGTGCCAGGGATTACAGGCATGAGTTATTGTATATGCTTCAAAGCCTATATTCTTAGCCTTTTAGAATCATAATTCCAAATTACATTTCCGCCAGTTTACTGTACAGCAAGTCATTCTAGGGACAGTGCTATTGGTGGCTTTTTTCTGGTGAGGGGTTGAGACAGGGTCTTGCTGCATAGTCCAGGCTGGCCTCGAACTTGCTGTGTAGCCCAGGTTGGCCCGGAGGTGGGAGTTCTCCTGCCTCGGCCTCCTGAGTGCTGGGATCACAAGCATGCACCTCCTCACTGATAGCTGTCTGGTTGGTACTGTCTGGTTGTCGAGTCACTTGCTTTGATTTGGAGTTCTGACAAGGGGTGGGAGTCTGTGCTCGTTGTTTGAATGAGGTACCTTGCTATGGATGCAATGGCAGAACAGGCCTGGCAGTGGGTGGGCCCTAGTAACCCAGCACTTGTGGCTCAGTAAAAGGTAAGGCAGCTATTCCCAGAAAATCCCTCTCTGGGACGTACCCGATGGAGAGCAGGTGTAAGCTATTTGTTTGTTTGTTTGTTTGTTTATTAATTTTTGGTACCCGGGATCGAACTTGGGTCCTTGCGCTTTCGCAGCAGGTGGCAAAACCACTGAGCTAAATCCCTGGCCCAGGTGTAAGCTATTTGAAAACATTAAGCAACAAATGTGAAAGGGGTTGGATGGAACTCATAGGGCTTCGCCCGCCCTGCCTCTCAGAGTCAGGTAGTGGTTTTAGACTCTTTAGGGGGTGTGCATGGAGGGAGCATCATGTTCAGAGCTGTAGGAGTGTGCTGAAGCTGGTCTGATGGGTTCATTCTCTGCCCCATGATGCCTTCCTTTCCCCCTCATCCTCTCTTCTCCCTATGTAGCAACAGGTAATTCTGTAGCATGGTGAAGAAGAAAGCACCCAGAGGTTATTGGGGCCAGGGGCTGGCCTGTCATCTCTTCTTGCCCCTTTATTTGGACTGGGTAGACTGCAGGCTTTGGAGTGGGGTAGACCTAGGTTTAAATTCCTAATTTCCACCTGGGCCTAGTGGTGCATGTCTGTAGTCCAGCACTTTGGGAGGCTGAGGCAGAAGGATTGCAAGTTTGAGCCCAGCTTGGGCAACTTAACAACTTTGCAAGACCCTGTCTCAAAAATAGGGAGGGAGGGGAGAAGGAGACGTAAAAGGAATTAAGATGTGCTAAGTACATGTACCAACTCTCTGTGTAATCATTACATACTGTCAGGGTGTACTAATAAAAATTTTAAAGATTTGGGGATGTAGCTCAGTGTGAAGGTCTGGGTTTAATCCCCAGTACTGCTAAGAACAAATAAATGCCTGTTAAGTGCAGCACCTTGGGTAATTTCTTCACTGTGAGTTTTTCTCCTTTGTAGTAAGCCTCAGCCCTCGTTGTTGAGAGCATGGCCAGGGAGCTAAGTGTCTGTTGGCTCTTCTAGTCCCCATTGGCCTGGTCATAACAGGGAAGGAAGGCCCCGTGGGTGGGGAGCCCAGAGCCCCGGGTAGCAGGTCCGTGATGCCCTGGGGGCTGCAGACCCTGGAGAAGCACCCTCTGCCCCAGAAGCAGGTCTAGGTGGGACCTGCTGGTAAAGGGCGCCGGAGGGGAGAGAGGGGAGGTCAGCTCGCCACTCCCCGGAGCCCACTTCTGTTCTTGATCCAGGTAATCTCATCTTCTACTTCACCAAATAGTTTGAGGCTGAGACATCACCGTGAGGTAATGTAATTGGAAGATAGAAAGCAGCTCTCAAAGCAGCTGCCGACCTCACCTGTGTGTAACTCACAGTGTCTCCCCTGTCTTCAGGGCGGCAGAGTAGATGGCTGGCGATACTGCCTTGCACGCAGTCTGGGCTGGGCCTGCGGTGGAGCCCCAGGGCCCTTTCAACTTGTGCTCTCCCTTGCCTAGCCCTGGGGTCGCCTTCTCCAGACACCGCTCCGGACCGAGGCCTGGGTAGTTTCCTTCCTTCCTGTCCAGTCCCTCTATTGAGTTAGAGTTGTGGGGGCCAAAAGTGGCCCTCAATGGCAGGGTGCCCCTAGGAGTGTTGTCTCTGTCCGGGCGGTGGCTGTCTGGGCGTTGGTGAGCAAGCAACATTGCAGGGTGCAGGCTGTGAGTACAGAGTGTAGTGCAGGCCCTGTTCCATGGCGTCACGGAGAATCTCGGGTGTGCAAGGTTCACGGGTCATGGTACCTAGCGGTAAGGGCAAGTGCTTGAGATGAGGAAGTGGAGATGAAAGGGGAGCACTTTTGAAAAATAGGGTGCTTATTAAAGAAAGACCCCGGTCAGAGGGCCTGCTGGAATAAAGGGTGGGAATATGAGAAATGGGCAGGCACCTTGGACTGAAAGAACAGGATCTGGTCAGCAGTGACGGGAGCCCAGAGCGCCCAGCGCTGGGCAGGGATGTAGGAAGGGCCTGTGTTGCCTGGGCTAGGGGCTGGACGCCTGCACAAGTCCCTTGGTCTGCTCCCCAGCCTCCCTCCGGCACTCTTGCTGCTGAGCGCTGCAGCCCTCTGTGCTTGGTGGGGCCCTGCGGAGCGTGGGAACAGGAACCTGAGCGAAAGGCCCGGCCTAAGCTAGTCCTCACTTGTCCTCACCATGCTGCCGCTGTCGGCTGTTTCCCAATGTGATTGCGGGGATGATGGGTCGGCTTTGGAGGGAGGTTTCTGCCTTAGGGGAGGGAAGGAGAGGAAGGGCTTTCCAGCCAAGATTTCCCCCACCATGCAGCAGGGCCTTGTGGGCTTCTGTCCGCATCGCAAGCTGTCCCTGGTTCTGCTGGGCAGGCAGCACGGGTCCAGCACTGAGCCTCGACATTCGGATCCGTGCTCTAGTGAGACCTGCCTGGGTCCCGGGGCTGGTGCAGCAGAGCCGAGGGCGCTTGTCACACTCAGCAAGGCCAAGTCTGTTCCAGTTACTCCTCACGTCCCCGACACCTCTGGCTCTCTTGGGTTCACGCATGGGGTATATTTTATTTTCCTCTCATTCTCAATTTTCCTCCCATTCTCAATTTTCCTCCAAATATCTCTGCAGCTCTCTCCTCTGCTTCCTCCTTGCTGTGGTGCTGGGATGCTTCTTCGTGGTTTTTTTGAATCTAGACTGGGCTGTTCTCTGTGTTAGACCAGTCCGTTACGACCCTCTGTGAACAGGTGTGTATGGAAATCTGTTTATTAAGAGCACAGATACTGTAAGTGCCTTTTTCCTGTAGGGCAGTGAGGGGTGGGGAGCAGGGGAGGTGGGTGCCCAGCCTACCTTGCCCCCCCAGTGTGTCTTGGACTGGCCACAGTGTCTCTGCAGCTTGTCAGGGAGCACCCCGAGCCTGCAGGGTGACTCCCGTGTGTCTGCCATGGGCTCACTCGCAGGTGCTGTGTGTAGTAACTGCTGCTTACTGTACGAAGGCACACGGGAGTCCTCCGATGCTGGCTGTTTATTGAGCTGGAACAGCAAAGAGGTGAAAGAGCTCTGCTCAGGCTTCCGTGGGAGGCCCAGCCATCGGGGGTCAGGGTGGGAGCTGCTCCGAGGCCCTGTCCCGGGGTGGGGGCCTCGTGCCCTCTCTGTGGAGGTATGCGCTTGCCCTCGGTACTGTACTGCAGTTTGGGGAGGCAGAACGGCCCTTTTGTAAAGGTGTTAAGGAAACCTTAGTTTTGCCTTCCACCTTTGATGGTAAGAGTTCTAAGGCCTTTCTTTGTTTTTTGGGACTGGGGATGGAGCCAGAGGCGCTCTGCCACTGAGCTACCCTGCCAGGTCTTCTGTTTTGATTTTGAGACCAGGTTTCACTGAATTTGGGAGGCCAGACTTGCACATGAGCTCCTCCTGCCTCAGCTCCTGAGTAGTTGGGATTAATAGTTATATGTCACTATGCCTAACTAATATTTTCCATTCATTGATTGATTTATTAATTAGTGGGGATTAAATCCGGGGTCTTTGCACTGAGCTACAATCCCCAGCCCTTTTTCTAGCTTTTTTTTTGGGGATGGAACTCGGGACCTTGTGCTTGTGAGGCAGGTGCCAGAACCACTGAGCTAAATCCCCGGAGCCCTTTTCTCTAATTTTTATTGTGATACAGGGTCTCCTTAAGTTGCTGCACTGCCAGGGCTGAGCTCACATTGGCAGTTCCCCTGACTCAGCCTCCCAGAGCACTGGGATTACAGGCATGTGCCCTCACTCCTGGCCCAGTGTTTCCATTTCCTACTTGCCCATTAATTTAGTATACTCTGCCAGTACTGTGGCAGTCTCAGTGTTCAGTTTTGGGGGACATGAAGGAGAGTCTGGACCCCGTGGACCCCAGGGCAGCCTGACCCCTCCAGCACAGTGAGTGCCAGTCCGAGCCTTGGAGCTAAGGCTTGCATTAGTGGGCACTAGCCCACGGCAGGGCGGGAGACTCCAGCTCCGACCTCACTCGAGGGCCGCGGCACCTGACCGCGCTCCTGCCGCCTGGGACCCAGCTGTACCTTTCCTGTTCCCGAGACTCTAGGCTGTGGGCACGGGTGGCGGGCCAAGGGCTGCCTGTGCGGTCACTGGTGGTGGGCCCTGGGCTTGGTGGCGGTTTGCTTTCCGCGCTGTAGGGAGCCGCTCGCGGGTGTGCTCGGCTCGGGTTGGCGATGCACCTGTCTCCTCTGACCTGTGCTCTTTTCTCTCCTCCCCCTGCCTCTCCCGATAGTGTGAAGTGAGGGGGCCTTCTCCCTCCTCCCCTTCCTCTGCGCCACCTTCCTCTTTACCCTGCCCTGCGGCGGCTCCGCCCCTTACCTTCATGGAGGACTCAGAGGTGGAGTCGACCGCCAGCATCTTGGCCTCTGTGAAGGAGCAAGAGGCCCAGTTTGAGAAGCTGACCCGGGCGCTGGAGGAGGAACGGCGCCACGTCTCGGCGCAGCTGGAGCGCGTCCGGGTCTCGCCACAAGATGCCAACCCTCTCATGGCCAACGGCACCCTCACCCGCCGTCATCAGGTAACCCCTCCAGCAGACCGCGGTGGGCCGTGGCCTTCGCGCGGCTCCCCTTGGGGCTCACCAGGCCGGGCGTCCTGCAAGCCTCTCCCGTGGGGACCGTGCTGAGTGAGAGATGAGCGCTGCCGCAGTGCTGAGAGGGGCTCTTAGCACTGGTAGCGACCGTCCGACTTCCTGTGTGCTGGAGTGGGTTTTCCGGGTTGGGCTGCAGTTCTGATGATGGCAGATTGTGTAGTTTGGGCCGCACTCAGGTTACTTCTGTTTCCTCCTCCTTGGTACCAGAAGTTCAGGACAGTGAAGGCCCACGTAGTGGTGGAGGAGGTGAGCATCCTGTCTGAGCCCTGCTCGGTCTCGCTGGGAGAGTTCTCGGAGCTGTGAGGTGCTCACTCCCCTGTGTCCCCGCGTCCCCCGTGTCCCTTTTTGCTGGCTGTGCACATCCTCTGTTGGAGGAAGGGCTCCTCCTCCGCTCTGCTGGTGAGAGTCCAGAGTCGAGAGCCGTACCGCTCTGCTGTTCAACCAGATGATGCAGGAGCTGGCACTCTCTGGGGAGGCCGGCTGCTGAGACTCAGCTCAGCTCAGGAGAGCTGCAGTGAGGAAAGAAGTCGCTTGTGTTTCCTGTGGTTTATCTTGCCGCACTTCCCTGTGATGGAATCTGTCTGAGGTTTAGTGCGTCTGTGTGTGTTAGGTATTGTTTGATAGTATCTCAGAGATCTCGGGGTTGGAAGAAGAACGATGCTTATACTTTTTGGTGTTTGTTTTTTATGTTACTGGGGATCGAACCCTGGGCCTTTGCACTGAGCTTCATTTCCAGCCCTTTGTATTTTTGTTTTGCTTTTTATTATTTATTTATTTTGGTTCTGGGGATTGAACTCGGGACCTTGCACTTGCCAGGCAGGTGGCGGAACCACTGAGCTAAATCCCTGGCCCTTGCTTTGCTTTTTTAACATGAGCCTCACTAAGTTGCTCAGGTTGGGCCCTAATTTTCGATCTTCCTGCCTGAGCTTCACAATATTGGGATTATAGACATGCACCAGGACCCTGATTCCTCCTTTTTTTGGGCGGGGCAGTTCTGGGTATTGAACCCAGTGCCTTGTGAATACTAGGTAAGCACTCCACCACTGAAATACATACTTTTTAAACATTTTAAAGTTTTTATTTTTAGGTAAATTTTTTTTTTTTGGTACCAGGGGTCCAACTCAGGACCTTGGGCTTGCCAGGCAGGTGGCGGAACCACTGAGCTAAATCCCTGGCCCAAGTTTTTACTATTGAGGCAGGGCCATGTTAAATAGTTCAGGCTGGCTTTGAACTCTCTATGTAGCTCAGGCCAGCCTCGAACTTTCGGCAATCCTCCTGCCTCAGCCTTCTGAGTGCTGGGATCATAGGTGTGTGCCCAGCAAAAAGTTTGTAAATTTTGAGACAGGATCTGGCTAAGTTGCCCAAGATAGATTTGAACTTGGGGTCCTGCCTCAGCTTCCCAAGCAGCTGATATTGCTTATGCAAATTTAAGAAGGTCCCTCGTGCTGAGGAGTCTTGTAGCTAGGTGAGACGACAAAATCCACTTGGAGGTGATCAGATTTGAAGGAGCTGTGTGTTTGCAGGGTCCCAGGTATGTTAAGGGTACTGAACAGAGTCTGAGGGATGCTGTGTGTCCGTGGACAGTGGGAAGGAGAACAGGGCTGCTCAGGCTGGCGTTGGTCGGTGGGGAATTCCAGGATTTAGTTTGAGGTTTCTCTGGCGCTCTTATTTTTAACTTCTGTTTAGCAGTGAAACCACACCCTTCCTCTTCCTGAAAGTGATGCTGAACTTCCTGTCCCTCAGCATTCCTGATATGAAGGGGATGGGGTGGGAGAAGACTCCTTGGCCAGCCAGCCTCACTGCCCGGCTGGACGAAGAGCAGGGAGTGTATTTTCATGAAGGGCTGTTCAGCTCTTTCCTGCCACTGAGGACAGCAGCTTCGGGAGGGCTTTTGGAGCGTGTTCTGTGGTGTAACCCTCAGTGATAAGAACATTGAGACCTCCCTTGGCAGCAGTTTTGGTACCTAATTCTTTACCTTTGGAAAGGGCTTCTTATATCTGTTGCTTTTCTTTAAAAATGGGAGCTTCCACTGGGAGCAGAGCATGAAGACTCGTGAACAATAAAGAAGGTTCCTGGAAACCCCCTGATTTAGGCTTCCCAACTTTCCTTACATTGTTAGGGTTTTCTCCAGAAAGGTTGTGTGTAGGGAAGCTTATCTGAGTCTCTGCTATTTATTCAGCAAATAGTTGTGTTTTTTTTTAACACAGGGTTTCGCTATGTAGCTCAGGCTGGGTTTGAACTTGGAATCCTCCTGCCTCAGCCTCCTGAGTGCTAGGATCACAGGCATGGACTCTCATGTCCAGCTAGCAAACAGTTTTGACTGTCCTGTGTTGGGCGCTGCTAGGGGAAGAGGGGCCCACCCTAAGCCAACTGGCCAGGCCCTCTGATTCCCCTTGGGGCTTGTGCTCTTGGGTTCCCGAGATCCAGCCTGCCAGAGCCCCGGCCTGCTCGCAGGTGTGAGGGGAGTGCTGAGACCCGAGGGGTCCTCCGTGAGCGCTCACACCAGGACTCAGGCAGTGCCTTCTGGAGCCCTCTTCCTGTCTGGAAGCGAGACATTGGTGTCCACTAGGGCAGAGGAAGGCCACGGGAATGAATTGTCTTCTATGGGCTGTGTTTCAGAACGGCCGGTTTGTGGGCGATGCTGACCTTGAGAGACAGAAACTGTCAGATCTGAAACTCAACGGACCCCAGGTAATTCTTCCGCTCAAGGCCTGGGTTGCTTTGTTTGGATCTTTTTCCTCCCAGCCCCGCCTGTAAGAGCACATTGGTGGCTGCAAAGTGTGGACACCCGCTCTTTAGTTTCTCTCCTTTAGGGAGATAGGAGGGTGGAGCTTGAGTGGACAGGTAGTTTTGTTCTGAGATCAGTACAATACTCATCACCGTCTCCCTGCCCCCATGTGGTCCTGCATCCTTGGGCTCTCCTTCGGGTTTTTAGGGAGGGTGTGATTCTACTTGCAAAAACTCCTACCTAAAATCTGGCCGGTCTTGAGCTTTAGGCAGGAGAGAGAGAGAGTAACCTAGACCTAGTCAAAAGATGGCTCTTTTGGGGATTTTCTGTTTATCTCACAGTTTCCGAATGGGCAGGCAGCTCTGTTGAAGGGTCAGTTAGAGGTGGATGTACGCCGTTGACACAGTTCATTCTCATTTAGGTGCCAAGGACCGGGGAGTTCGGGCTGCTGTCTCTGTGGCTTGGATGTTGGCGTGGCTGTAGTTAACTTGGTTCATGTTTGTTAGGTGACTAGAATCTGCAGGCTTCATTTTCTCTCCTTTTGCACAGCCCCAAAGTTGATAGGCACCTCCTCCCCAAATCCCCAGTCTGAGCTGGGTGTGGTGCCTATGCCTGTCATCCCAGCTCTCTGGGAGCCTGAGGCAGGAGGGTCAGGAGTTCAAGCCCAGCCTAGGCAACTTAGCAATTTAGAGACCCTGTCTCAAACCATAAAAAGGCGCAGGGAGGTAGCTCAGTGCGAAGGCCCTGTTCTGCCCAGAAGGAAGCAAAACTGCTCAGTCCTGTGGAGGGTGCCCGAAAGCTGCCTCCAGGGTCACCTGTGCTTTGACCAGGAGGGTTGTTAGTCTGCGGGGCTCAGCGGCCGCTTCCTTCTACCGTCTTCCCTGGTAGGAGCACAGTCACCTTCTGTACAGCACCATCCCCAGGATGCAGGAGCCAGGGCAGATCGTGGAGACCTACACAGAGGAGGACCCTGAGGGAGCCATGTCGGTGGTCTCTGTGGAGACCTCAGATGATGGGACCACGCGCCGCACGGAGACCACGGTGAGCTGCAGGGACAGGTGGCGGAGAGGCCATCTCCTGCTCCTCTGGGCTGGGCGGGCGCTGGTCTGTGCTGGTCTCCCTGGTTTCCCGAGGGCAGGGATTCTGTCTGGGCGGAGAGGAGAGAGAGGCTGGGTCCGGTCTGCAGCAGCGGGCCATGTGCTGGGCTGGGCCGGGCCTTGGGTGCACCGTTCAGGGTGTTTCTGGGTGGAGGAGCTGAAGCCTGGCTCTGTGTGGAGCTTGAGCTGCCCTCACTGGCTCCTGCGAGGCCTGTTAACCGGTGCTCTTCCCTTCACGAAGGTGAAGAAAGTAGTGAAGACCGTGACGACCCGGACAGTGCAGCCCATGCCTGTGGGACCAGACGGGCTGCCTGTGGACACCTCCTCGGCTTCTAACAGCTACATCCAGACTCTGGGCCGTGACTTCCGCAAGAATGGCAACGGGGGCCCGGGTCCCTGCGTGGGGCAGGCGGGCACCGCCACCCTTCCTCGGAACTTCCATTACCCTCCCGACGGGTACAGCCGCCACTACGAAGACGGCTACCCAGGGGGCACCGACAGCTACGGCAGCCTGTCCCGGGTGGCCCGCATCGAGGAGCGGTACCGGCCCAGCATGGAGGGCTACCGGGCCCCCAGTCGGCAGGACGTCTACGGGCCCCAGCCCCAGGTGCGGGTGGGTGGGAGCAGCGTGGATCTGCACCGCTTCCACCCAGAGCCCTACGGGCTGGAGGACGACCAGCGCAGCGTGGGCTATGACGACCTGGACTACGGCATGATGTCTGACTACGGCACTGCCCGCCGCACCGGAACGCCCTCCGACCCTCGCCGCCGCCTCAGGTGAGCTGAGCAAGGAGGGGGTCTGAGGACAGCCGGGTGGCTGTTCCCACCTCTGGGAGCTCCGTGGCGTCCTCCCCGGAGGAGGCCGCCCCTTTGTCCCTCTCTGGGAGTCCCACACGGTGCTCCGGCTCAGAGGTGCACTGTGGTTTCTGTGGTCCTGGCCCGCACTCGGCGCCTCGCCCCGGGAATCTGCTCAGCTTCTGGCTTGGTGCTGGCAGCCGGGAGCAGAAGAGACCGCGTAGGGTGCGTGGGTCCCACCTGGTGAGGCCTCAGCCGCACTCTGAGGCCACCAAGCAGCGGCCACTCTGACCTACGTGTCCTTGGGCATTCTGTGGGGGTGCAAGTGAGGTGACTGATGTTGGCCTAGGAGGAGGTCTGGCTTTTGCCTTGAGAGAAGACTTTCCAATGGGATCGGCAGACCTTTCCCACAGGACATACTTGGGGCTCTGTAGGCCATGTGTCACCATCGTCTTTTGTCTTGATCTTTGGTTTTTCTTATTGTTGCTTTTTTGTTTGTTTTTAGTTTTGTTTTCAGAGATAGAGTCTCACCATGTAGTTCAGGCTAGCCTTGAACTCACTACATATTCCAGGCAATCCTCCTGCCTCAGCCTCTGGAGTGCTGGGGCTGGGACTATAGCCGTGAACCACCACACCCTGCTATGTTCTTTGTTTTTTAAAACAGCCTTGCATTTGAGTGCAGTGGTGCTTTCCAGCTACTTAGGAGGCAGCCTTTTGCTAAATTGCCTTGGCTGACCCCTAACTTGACTTTTCCTGCTTCAGCCTCCCGGGTAGCTGGGATTATAGGTGTGTGCCGCCACACCTAGCTAAAGCAGGTTTCGAAGTATTTTTCAATTCTAGGACTGTACAAAAGCAGGCTTAGCCCATGGGCTGCAGATCCTGCTTCCAAGTAAATCAGTATGTTCTCCAGGCAGAGGGAAATAGTGAGAAGTGGGGAAGAGTCATGGCTGTCTTGGTGGCGCCGTCCAGGCCCCTGTTGCTGGTTCCTGCGAGAGTGGCCATGACCCTCTGATGAAAATCGCCTCGGTGCCTTTTCTCTATCTGTTCTGCAGTGTTCCCAACCTGGGACGGACGGAGCCTGCTGGGCCGGGCTGGCCCAGGGAGGGGAGGGGCTCTATAATCTTAGCCTGAGCTTGCTTACCTTTCAGGTGTTGGGGTCTGACTCAGGCTTAGTCCTGGAGGGTGGCGGGGCCCAGAGCCGGGAGATAGCAGCTATCAGGGTTGGAGCTGCTGTCTGCCCGGGCGTTGGCTATGGCTTCTCCTGACTTCCTGGAGCATCGAGTGTGCAGGTGGGTTGGACGCCGCCACTCTGCTGTCCCTGGCTGCTCAGTTGACTGGGAGGGCCTGGGACCTGCTTCCTGGGTGGGTTCCAGGGCAGTGCTGGGCTGGTAAACCTGCCTGACTGGCCAGAACATTGGCCGCTTCCTGGGCAGGCCTGGGAGAGCAGCACAAGGTCACACCTGCCCCTTGCAGTGTCACTCAGACAAGTCGCTTGGTCTTTCTGGGCCCAGCATTGTTATTTTTGTAAAAAAAATAAATCTTGATCCTCTGGCTGTGCAAGAGGGAAAAGAACACAGATTTCTCTGAGTGACTGCAGTTTGGTTACTGTAATTTTTTAGGAATTGCTTAGAATAATAACAAAGGCAAGGCATGGTCAACAGAGTCTGAAAATCTCAGAAGAGCACAACATTCACATAGGCCACTGTGAACATTTTGGCACATAGCTTTTGAATTCTTTTTCCTATTAATGCACACATGGCCCATTTTCCCCTGGTCAGATTTAAAACTTAGCTCTGTAATGCCTTCATTTTGTTTCCATGCAGTTTGAAAAGGTCTTGGTGCTTTTGATGAGGCGCTTTGTCTCTGAGTCACTGGAGGGCTCCGCTGGTACCTGTGCAGCTCTGCTTCAGCCAACCTGGTGCGCTGGGTGGCAGTGGGAGTGGTTTTGTGGAACAAACAACGGTCTTATTTGGAGAGTTCCACACAATAGATTACCCCGCTCCTGTGGGAGCCTCAGAAGGAGATGAGCTCACTGATAATGGGTCTCTTCCTTCCTGGTGGTTATGAATAAGTAATGGTGGGACCCACTCACCCTCTAGTGGTTGCTGTTAGTACTGAAACAGAGGCATCCTCTTTGACTTCAGTCGCTTTGTCTTGTGTTCCTAGAGGCCTGGTGTCCCAAATGTGACATTGGTCACTAGCCTTCATTTCAGCAGAGTTGGAGATATTTAGGAATTGGAGGGTGGGAAGTCCTATCTCACACGTATTTGTGGAGTAGCACAGTGACACTGGGGTGAACTCTGAGAATCAGTGTTCAAGTTTATGCCCAATCAGTATGAAAGCCAGGTCTTCTTATGATGTAAGAAGTGCTTTTCTGCTTTTCTCTAGCAGCCCTGTTTTTTACAACTTCTAAAGTGGGGTAAGGGGAAGCTTGAATATGAAGTGTGTTCAAGGATTTTATTCCACCAGCTGTTTCCTGTGTATAAATGCCCCATTTCCTGTTTAGCTAAAGTCTTATAAGAATTGTTCTCAGGCTTTGCTTGCTGACTTCTGTCATACTGAGTCAGTCGCTTTGATTAACACTGCTGTCTAAGGATTTATTTTAATCTCTACCCAGAGAAGTTAGTAGCTGTCAGATATCATTTAAATAAATGCTAAGTAATCAAGATTTAATTCCTCCTTTGTGGTTGGGTTTTCCAAATGTTACTTTCTGAGCCAGCAAACTTCACAGGAAAAAAAAGTAGTTTTAGTCTAAGTGTAGGTGCCTTTAAAATTATTAGAATTGGTCAGTGTGTCCTTCATGAAGATGAGAGATGAGATCTGTGTGCTAGGCTTGGTTTATCCTGCAGATGAGGATTCAGGCTGGTGCCAGGAAGCTAGACAACTGCTTGATGGAGTACTCTTTTCTCTTGCTTTTCCGGAACCTTGGCAGGAGCTATGAAGACATGATTGGGGAGGAGGTGCCGTCGGATCAGTACTACTGGGCTCCTCTGGCCCAGCATGAGCGAGGAAGCCTCGCAAGCTTGGACAGCCTTCGCAAGGGAGGCCCCCCGCCTCCAAACTGGAGACAGCCAGAGCTGCCAGAGGTGATCGCCATGCTGGGGTTCCGCCTGGATGCCGTCAAGTCCAACGCAGCCGCGTACCTGCAGCACTTGTGCTACCGCAATGACAAGGTGAAGACCGATGTGCGGAAGCTCAAGGGCATCCCAGTGCTGGTGGGATTGCTAGACCACCCCAAAAAGGAAGTGCACCTTGGGGCCTGCGGTGCTCTCAAGAATATCTCTTTTGGACGGGACCAAGATAACAAGATTGCCATAAAAAACTGTGACGGTGTTCCTGCCCTTGTGCGGCTGCTGCGAAAAGCTCGTGATCTGGACCTTACTGAAGTCATTACTGGTGAGTCCTAGGCCGGAGGAGTTGTTACTAGGCTGGGTTCAGTCGGACCAGAGATGTCGAGAACCCGAGGCGTTTTCGGGCCTTTGCCTTTTGGTCGTAGCTTCTGAGCAGGTGGCCACTGGGTCAAATCTTAAAGAATTGTTTGCTTTTCACAGTACTGAGGATTAAAGAAATTTTAAGGAATTGGTTGCTGATGTATAGATTTTTGAAGCTGTGATCTGAAATTTTAGATTCTTGGCTTCTGTTAAAAACAGAAGAGCTGATGAGGACAGGATGGCTCCTTCCCCTGTGGCAGTGTTTGGTCTGCGCTGACTGGACACGCTGTTCTCCAGTTCACAGCCATCTGGACACATTCCGTTGGCCCTGACCAGCTGCAGTCCTAAGGAAGGTGTCTCGCCCATGGAAGCTGAGTCAGTCACCTTTCCCCACAGTCTTATCATTTCTTCTAAATGTCTGCGTGGCCATCTAGACATTCGAGCTTGTGGTCTTTCCCTCATTCAGAATGGTAGTTTTTCAGACTGTGGGCTGTGATGCATTAGAGTGACTTGAATTTAATTTTGTGGGTCACAAACAGCATTCTAAGAAAAAGAAAGAACAAGCAATAGTGTAACCCATGGGAACTAAAGTGGGGGAGATTTTTCTTGCCAGAGGACGTTTGCTGTTAGAGATATTTTTGGTTGTCTTACCTGGAGTCTGGGGAGAGAATGCTGTTGGCATCTACTGCGTGAAGACAGGGACATTGGTAAACACCCATCCCGCAGCAAAGACCCTGTGGCCCGAGATGACGTGGTGCTGCCGTGGAGAATGGCAGACAGATGCATGGTGCTTTCACGGTCTGTTTGTCTTGAGCTGCAGTGTAAGATGTGCTTCTCACCACGGGTCCCAGACAAAAGCTTGAATGTCACCACAGGTATCATCGGGTCTCTGAGGAAGACCGGGAAGCCATGGAACAGGCAGTGGAGGCGAGCTTGTGGCACGCGTGCCGAGGCAGGCTGTTTGTTATCAGTGAGAGCTCTAGAAGGTTCGCTATCACTGAAATAGGGGGTCCTCTGACATTCTTCAAGGGCTGTCTTGGGCTCTGCCCCTTGTCTCTGCCAGGAACCCTGTGGAACCTGTCATCCCACGACTCGATCAAGATGGAAATCGTGGACCACGCGCTGCACGCCTTGACGGATGAAGTGATCATCCCGCACTCTGGCTGGGAGAGGGAGCCGAGTGAGGACTGCAAGCCGCGCCATATCGAGTGGGAGTCCGTGCTCACCAACACAGCTGGCTGCCTGAGGTAACGGGGGGCTTTAGAAGAAGACTGCGATTTCTAAAGACTTACACAGTTTCTTTAAAAATAGTTAAATCCTTGAGCCCGTTGCTCCTCCTCGCCTTTGCTTTTGTATCACATGCTGCAGCTCCAACCTGTCCCTCTTTATGGCTGCCCCTGCATGTGTACCGCACACACCTGCCATGTGGGTTGTCACTGTCCCTATGTGTCCTCCTTGCTCCTATGTCTCTCTGACTGTTCATCTCATCTGGGAAATCTGTTGGAACCTCAGCAGTCTGGGGAACCTCACACCTACATGTATGGGGCTCTGGGCTTGGAGAAGGCAGAGACTGGCAGTCCTGCTCCTCCCAGCGGCAGTGTCTTGCTCACCGCAGACACTCACTCATCACGGTGAGCGGAAGGCCTCGAGGAAGCTTGCAGATGTTGAGGGTGTTTCGGGAGGACTGCTGGGCTTGGGTCACCTCAGGGATCTCCTGGTCTCCCCGCAGGAATGTAAGCTCAGAGAGGAGTGAAGCCCGCCGGAAGCTTCGGGAGTGCGATGGCCTAGTTGATGCCCTCATTTTCATTGTCCAGGCTGAGATTGGACAGAAGGATTCTGACAGCAAGGTGAGTTGCTGCATCTGGGAGGTACTGTGGTGCAGACCGACCCACCTCCTCACATTTCAGGCTAGCTCCTTCCTGCTCAGGTGGGTGTTCAGCTTAGAAAAGAATGGTTCCTTCACACTACTCACAGCTGCTTGGCAGTCTTCCCAGACTACTTTTTAAGTAGGAAAAACAAAACTTGAGTTTTGGGTCACGTACCAAACAGTGGTAGAAGCATTAAATCCATGATTGGGCCTTCCATTGGCCTGAAGATGCAAGGATGCCAGGAGCCTGGGGCACTGAAGAGGAGCTGTCCTGACAGGATGGCTTGGTCTGTGCTTATGAAGAAGGGCTTTCGTTGTGTTTGGGGTTTTGAGACAAGGTCTTACAATGTAGCTCAGGCCGGCCTTGAACTCACTGTGTAGCCCAGGCTGGCCTCGAACTCCCAGTGCTTTTCCTGCCTCAGCCTTCTGAGTGCTGGGAGCACAGGCGTGTGCCACCACGCCTGGCTTTGAGGATGGACATCCTGATACCTGAGCCATGGAAACGTGTCCTTGTTGGGAAAGAACCGTAGACGGCTTCTTCTCTCATCGGGCCTTTGTCTTGTGGCCCCAGCTCGTGGAGAACTGCGTCTGCCTCCTGCGGAACTTGTCCTATCAGGTTCACCGGGAGATCCCACAGGCCGAGCGCTACCAGGAGGCACCGCCCACTGTTGCCAACAACTCAGGGCCCCACGCGGCCAGCTGCTTTGGCGCCAAGAAGGGCAAAGGTGAGTGTTACTGCTCAGTCCTTGCTCGTGAACGCGGGGCAGGGCAGCGAGAGGGAAGAGTGCAGCTTGAGGTGCAGGGTGCTGGCGGACACGTGGGCTCTGCCCGGGCTTTCGGCTGTGCCTCCGCCTCCCCTGCTGTGTGCATCGGTGGCGGAGCGACGGCTGTCAGCCTCAGTGACTGGGGTGCTGAGGGACAGCAGTTCTGAGTGGGGCCCCTTCCCCATTCCTCCTTCGAGTTCCCTGTGTCGTTCCGTTCTTCTCTGTGCTTTCCTGCTCGTTGGCCCATGATCCTGTTGACGTCTTTCTCCTGCATTTTTCTTCCTTTATTTCTCTCCTCCGCTTTCCACTTTGGGTGCCGCCCTGGAAGATGAATGGTTCTCCAGAGGTGAGTGGAGTCTTTGATGGTGCTCCTCTACGTCTCATTCGCGTGTTCCGGTTTTAGGGTCCCGGCATTTCCTCGCCTAAGCCTTCCCTGTGATGCATGTAGGAATCCTGCTGAGGAAGGCCTCTGACACGAGCTAGCTCTTCTGAGCTCCTGCTCAGGGTGCGGGCAGCGGCCCTGTCCCCACACTCAGGTCATAGCACCGACAGTGCTGCCTGTTTTCTGTCCTCGTTTCTGCATAGCCCCTGCTGGGGCAGATGTGGGGGGACCCCTTCTTTGGCCCCCTTTGATGCATCTCTGGTCCAAAGATTCTGTCTAAAGCATGAAAATGTGCCAGATGAAATCTTTCCTTTTTAAACTCCGCCCCTTCCCCCCCATTTCTGCAGGGAAAAAACCCACAGAGGATCCAGCAAATGATACAGTGGACTTCCCTAAAAGAACCAGTCCTGCTCGAGGTAAGTTAGTTTTTTCTTTTCCGTCTCCAAAGTCTCATAAACACAGTATTGGTGTTTGATAGCCCAAGGTAGACTTTATGCTGCCTGCTGACCATTCTCTCTTCTCTGACTTAGGGGTTGGATTTGAGGTGATGGTCGGTGTACTGGGGAGCTGTAGAGTTACAGCAGTAACTTACAAGGACTGCTTGCTAAGGCGGTGTACTGAGTCACCTGAGGACAGCAGCCTAGAGTAGGGTCCTGATGGTGGGCCAGAGCAGCAGAGCAGCTTTGGGGACTTGCACCTTACTAACAGAAGAAGCCTATTTGCTGTAGATTGGCTCTTTGGACTCACTGTATTGACGAATGTAATGTTTACAGCTCTCCAAGGATATAAATTTAAGTGTTGTTAAATCTGTGATGGTCCCTTTTACTCGGTTCTAGTAAAGGTTGGGAGAATGACTGGGTTAAAGTAGAAGTAATTTATTTGAGATGAGTTTTTAACCCTGGATGCTGTGGGTGGGCTAAGTGGTTCAGCCGAGGCTGGGTGCGCCGTGGGAAGGAGCATCCAGGGGAAGGAGAGGCGCTGGTGCCTTTGCAGGGTGGAGCATCATTCTGAGAGGCGTGGAGTCGAGCCCCTGCTGTGCTGTTGGTGGGCAAGGGGGTTTTGGGCCTAGTGCCGCAGGAGAGTAAGTTCTCGATCTCCAGTCTGAAGGCCGGACGCCAGCCAGCCAGAGCCCGGTGCATGGGGATCACTGAGCACCCTGTCTTCCCGCCCTTCTCTGTGTAGGCTATGAGCTCCTGTTTCAGCCAGAGGTGGTCCGGATATACATCTCACTTCTCAAAGAAAGCAAGACCCCTGCCATCCTGGAAGCCTCTGCCGGAGCCATTCAGAACTTGTGTGCTGGGCGCTGGACAGTGAGTACCTTTTAGAAGATAGGTCTGGACATGGGGTTCTGCTGACCGGCTTTCTGCCTCCGTCATCTGTGCCTCACCCTCCATGTGCTCCTAGTACGGCCGATACATCCGCTCCGCCCTGCGTCAGGAGAAGGCTCTCTCGGCCATAGCGGACCTCCTGACCAATGAGCACGAGCGCGTGCTGAAGGCCGCCTCCGGGGCACTGAGGAACCTGGCTGTGGATGCTCGCAACAAGGAGCTCATTGGTGAGGAGCGCGCCAGCAGGTGCCGCCTGCAACAGGAGCTCACACAGACAGTCGCTGGCAGAGATCACTACGGGAGGGGTCGGGGCCTCCATGGCTGTGCATCTGGGGCAGAGCGGTTCTCAGAGGCAGAGGTGATGGCTGCAGAAGAGAAGAACAATCGCTGTTACTGCAGCACCGCATTTTTACTAGGCATTGTTATGCACTGTTTTCATTTGATCACCACTTTACAAAGGTCCATTTTGTTTTTTAATAGGATAAGGAAACCAAAGGTCACAGAAGTTAAGTAATTTGCCCCAAGTTTATGGAGCCTGGTTAGTGGCAGAGCGCAGGTTGTTGTCGTTTTTTTAAATTTTTTGTTTTTTTGAGATAGGGTCTCATTATGTAGTACAGGCTGGCCTTGAACTTGCAGCGAACTTTCTGCCTCAGCCTCTAAAAGGTTGTTGGTTTAAAAAAATTCCTAATGGCTGTGTTGTATTGAATTACTGCAGTAATGAGCACACTGTTTCCATGCGGGATCGGAGGGGACTGGGCAGGATTTTAGATTGCTCTGCTGTGATCTGAGGACAGGAGCTGTGAGGAAGGACAGCGAGTCCCTGGCTGTTCCCTGTCCTCTCCCCTGGTGTCTGACAGCCCTGGAAGCTGCCAAGGGCAGTTTGTGTGGCGGTGCCTGCACAGTGCGGTGTGTGCGCGCCTCACGTGTGCTCCTTTGCCTGTGTTCCTTCCTTCCTCTCGCTGCTGCAGGTAAACATGCCATTCCCAACTTGGTGAAGAATTTGCCAGGAGGGCAGCAGAACGCCTCCTGGAGTTTCTCAGAGGATACCGTCATCTCTCTTTTGAACACCATCAATGAGGTTATTGCTGAGAACTTGGAGGCTGCCAAAAAGCTTCGCGAGACACAGGGCATTGAGAAGCTGGTGTTGATCAACAAATCAGGGTGAGCTCTTAGCATCACAGCTAGGGGGGTCTGGAGGAGGGGTTGCTGGGAAGGGGCTCTCCTCCTTTGCTCTCTGGGATTGTTTTCCCTTGTTTACTCGAGCAGTAGTGTGACGAGGTATTGCGCTATTTTGTCTTAATGTTGATCCATAAGTCGGTAATAGGCTTTACTTTGGTGGTTTTGTGGTACTGAGGATTGAACCCAGCGCCTCTATGCAGAGCTGCATCCCTGGCCTTTTCCTTATGTTTTGTTGTGAGCCAGGCTCCGAATTGCCCAGGCTACACTCAGGCGTGTGCCACCACAACCAGCTTCTAGGCTGTTTCTTCAAACTTGTATTTTGAGACAGGATCCAGTGACGGTGGCCAGGCTGCCCTCAGACTTGCAGTCCTTCTGCCTCAGCCTCCTGGGCAGCTGGGATTGTGGGCACGCCCCGAGCCCAGCTGGTGCTGTTAGGGGGGATAGGTTCTAAGCGCCCTTTCTGCTCTTCCACCCACATTTCCCTTGGTGTTACTTTCCTCAAAAGGAATCGCTCGGAAAAAGAAGTTCGAGCAGCAGCACTGGTGTTGCAGACAATCTGGGGGTACAAGGAGCTGAGGAAGCCCCTGGAAAAAGAAGGCTGGAAGAAGTCAGACTTCCAGGTACTGTAAGGCTGGACACCAGCACACCTTCCACCTGTAGGGGTGGACACCGGGACTGCCTCTTCTGTCTCTGGGTCCTTGTGTTTCACCATCACTCGGAGCTCCGCTCAGGGAACATCTGTGGCTTCTCAGCCTCCCTCAGATGGCGCTCGTGTCTGTGGCCCCTGAAGCCCGGGCTGTGTCCCACCCCTCTTAAGACTGGTGTTGGGAAGAGGAACCTCGGGGCTTCTGCTGGGGAGTGGGGTCTGGGTGTGGAGATGGCGAGTGGGGAAGCAGACTTGGCTTGAGAAGGAGGAGGTGCGGAGGAGAGGGGCGCGAAAAATATGTGGGTGAGTCCAGGGCTCTGTGGCAGTGCTTCCCTGTTGGCCTCCAGGTGAACCTCAGCAGTGCTACGCGGAGCCAGAGCAGCCGTTCCTATGACGACACCACGCTGCCCCTCATCGACCGCACCCAGCAGCTAGGTACGCCCTGCCAGCCGCCCTCCTGGCGGCCCCTCCTGCGGCGCTGTGGGGCTGCTCGGCTACAAAGAAGGGTGCAGGGGTTTGTTCTGAGGGAGAGTCTTGGGGTGGGCGTGTGTGCGTGATTCCTCTGCTGGAAAGTGAACCCTAGTTTCCCTTTAAAGCTTTTATATAATTCCAGTTAATGTGTGTTCACTATTAAAATTAGAAAACATAGACAACTAGAAAATAACAGAAAATCAGCTGTTTCTAATACCAGTGTTAACCAGTGCCGTCTGGGGTTACAGCTTTTTAAACCCTTTTGCCGCGTGAACAAATGCATTTCCCAGGAAGTGAGTGGTTTTTCCTTGCTTCGCTTACCGTGCGCTGTGGCCCTCCTCCCTGGCGGCACGTGGCTTGTGCCTGGCCCGGCCTGGTTCTTGCAGGCCGCTGAGCCTGCGTGCTGGGCGCTGGTGCCACCACTGAGGACTGGGCTCTGGCCCGGGCCGAGTGGGGCCCAACCCAGTGAGCCCCTAGTCTCCTTACACTCCCAGGCCGAGAAAAGCCATCTTTGCTGGAGCATGAGCCCAGGGGAATGGTGTTTCCGTTTCTGCTGTGAGTGTACATCTTTCACATTCCTGTGCCCGGGAGAGAAGAGGCGCTCTCCAAGTGTTTCTGCCACGCATGGAAGTGGCACGGGTGTCTTGAGGGGAAGCAGTTGTGCCATTGCTGGAGCAGTTGTTAGACTAGCCGCCTGTTTACGGAGCATCATTCTACGTGAAAAAATGACTGGAAGACAAACTATCAGTATTTAGACAGCGTATTTGGCTGGCATTTCCTCAAAAATGAATTCAGGAGCCGGGCTCAGTGGCATATGCCTTTAGTCCTGGCACTCTGGGAGGGTGAGACAGGAGGATCGAAAACTTGATCCCAGGTTGGGCACCTTACCAGTGCATTGAGACCCTGTCTTTAAGTAAAGAGGGCTGAGATGTTGCTCTGCGTGAAGGCCTTGGTTCAATCGCCAGTGTTGCAAAACATTAAAATAATAAACTGGCACTTGGGTGCAATAAAGAATGAATGCAGTGAGCCTGTCGCTTTGAGCAAAATAATCGATAGTATCTTCTGCCTCAGCTTTCAAGTGAAAATCATAGTCTTGAAAATCTTGAGTCTGCCTCTGTGAGTCTGCTAACTTTCTAGTACTTAAGGTTTTCTAATGGCATCAGTGGTGAAGTGACATTAGTGAATACGATTTTTAAAAACAAAATGGGGGGCCAGGGATTTAGCTCAGTGGTTCCGCCGCCTGCATTGCAAGCGAAAGGTCCCGAGTTTGATCCCTGGTACCAAAAAACCCCAAGACAAAATGTATGAAATGTGTAAATGTCCGGAACATCTGTATACTTCTGTGAATTAGTTTTTTTGTTTGTTTTCTTTTGTGGTTTATCATTATTTTTGTTTTATTTTTTCTTTGAGACGGGTCTTGCTATGTAATTCAGGCTGGCCTTATACTCGCAGTAATCTTCCTGCCACAGCCTCCCAAGTGTGCTGGCATCACAGCTATCTGCCGCTGTGCCCAGCCTGGGCATGCTGGTATCTTGCAGTTGACCAGTGTTGCGATACATTAGAATCATGCCTGGGCAGTCGATCCATAGAGCAGTGGATTTTAGTTTTACAGGATACAGAGAGATTGTTTGTTCTCTTATTTCACATTACTGCTAACCTTTAAGAACCTGTAAGCTTTGGAGCCCAAAGGGTGGTCCAGACCTGTACTAATCCTAGCACCGAGGGAGACTGAGTCAGGAGGGATCACAAGTTTGAATCCCTCCTAATTTAGCATGATCTTGTCTAGAAATTTAAAAAAATGAAAAGCTTAGGGGATATAGCATAGTGTGAAGACCCTGGGTTCAGTCCTTAGAACTGCATAAAAAGAAAAAAGAAGTACTACTGGGATTGAGAACGTAGCTCAGTGGTAGCACTTGGCTAGCATGAGGGAGGCTCTGGATTTGATCCCAGCACCACAAAAAGGGTGGGAAGGGAACTACTGTTTGTGAGTATTAGTTATCAAACAGTATCCACAGTTACCTGAAAGGCTATTCAAATTCTCTTTTTATCTGGGAGGCTAGATTTTCTTCATTATTCAGCAACCAAAATAATATCACAAGAGATTGAATGCAGAAACAGAAGTGAGAATCCAGCTTTCTTTGATTAAGCCAGCGTTTAAAGCTATCTGCAAAATTGGGGACAATGTTTTGTATTAAAAATATTATTTATAATCCAGGTGTGGTGGTACACACCTGTGATCCCAGGACTCAGGAGGCTGAGGCAGGAGGATCACAGTGAGTTCTAGGCCAGCCTGGTCTACATAGCAAGGCCCTGTTTTCAGTAACCAACAACAAAAGCAAAGGCAAAACCAAAAAATTACTATAACATGTAGTAAATGTATTTTTTTTTTTGGTACTGGGGATTGAACTCGGGACCTTGCACATTAGAGGCAGGTGCCGGCACCACTGAGCTAAATCCCTGGCCCTATAAATGTTTTTATTTTAATTTAATTTTATTTATTTTATTTATTTTTTTTTTGGTGCCGGAGATCGAACTTGGGTCCTTGCGCTTGCGCAGCAGGCGGTGAAACCACTGAGCTAAATCCTCAGCCCCCGTAAATGTATTTTTAAAGCAAAGCTGACATTTAAAATTTATCAGTACAGTAAATACTAATACGTACGACTCACCAGTGAAAGGTCTTTGATCCTCACAGTTCTTTTCAATTGCTGCTTTGGGGGTTGAACCTAAGGCCTCCCCCACGCTAGGTGCGTGCTCTGTCCCGAAGCTACATCCTCAGCCCAGCTCCTCATAATGTAAGGCTGGAAAGAGGCCTCGAGACGAAGAGCATGACAAACTGCTGAGTAGCGAGTTACCTGTAGGGACAGGACCTCGCTAAGCCTGGGCTGTGGTCTAGCTGTGCAGTTGAGGTCGGAGCCTGGCATGTAGGGTGCGGAGTAAAGACTGGAATGAAGGAAGGGCAGGACAGACCAGAGAGCGATTGATGATGTGGATAGGTTTTGAAGCGCTGGTTTTGACCTGGATAACTTTCTGACTTCATGTAGATAAGAAACCTGACCGGGAAGAAATTCAAATGAGCAATATGGGATCAAACACAAAATCACTAGGTAGGTAACGCACTCCCACCTGAGGTGTGGACTAGCATTTCCCTGGGTGAGGAGCCCTGCTTGGATCTCCAGGGTTTTCCTGACACCCTCACCGTTTGCTGTCCTGCGAGAGCCGTGGTGACCCCTTCCACTGAGAAGGATGTGAGGAAGTGCAGTAGAACTTGGTCCGTTTACTTCCTGCACAGACTCAAGTTTTCAGAAAACCTTCACACGCCTCCCCCAGTACTGCAGTCAACGCTCGCGTCCCCGAGTGCAGCCAGCCCACCACGGTCTGACCCATTCGCCCCCCTCCCTGCTTCTCCAAGTGCTCTCTCTCAGCCTCCTGGTCTCACCTTGCTGTTCTGTCTTCTCTGTCTCATTTTCTTTCTGGACTTCCCTCTTCCCATTTGCTTTTCAAAATTCTCTTCATCCCCAAAGGCTTAACTCAAGTTCTGCTTTCCTTCATCAGGTCCTTCCTGCAGCACCATGTGTCACTCTTCTCTTAGTTTCCGTTCCCTTAGAGACTGGCCTCTTCGGTCAGCCTCGAGTCACATGTCAGCTGTAAGTGTTTCATTTGTGCTCTCTTTCTGCTGTTTTCAAGTTGCTTGGAAGCCCAGGACTGTCATACTTGAAAGCCTTTCTGGAGGCAAAGCTCAGCCCCAGCAGAGGTGCCAGTTCCCACCTAGGACTCGGTGTGTGGTGGGTATTCAGGGGCCGCCATGTGTCTGTGTGTTGTCTTCACAGATAACAACTATTCTACACTGAACGAGAGGGATCACAGCAGAACACTGGATCGAAGCGGGGATCTGGGTGACATGGAGCCTTTGAAGGGAACGCCCTTGATGGTAAACCCCCTTTGGATCCCGAGGCCCATCTAAGACTGCTTCTATTTTGAGGCCTGCATGTTGTATGAAATGGGGACAAAGTACAAAGAGGAAGAGAGGGTCTTTTTCTGGTAGGGGTTGCAGGAAAAAGTAGGGCTCTTGACTCATTGTGGGGACCCTCGGGCCATTATTCTGCATTGGTCAGGTTGCGGAAGTCTGCAAAGGTGTCACCGACACTACTAACACTAACCCATCTGCTCTCAGCCAACCTCCTCTTGTGCCCGGCTGTTCATGAGTGTTTTGCCCCTCTCTTACTCTACCTCGTTTGTTTGAATGTACCAATTCTGGAATTTTCCGTAGGCCCGGCCCTCACCGGGTGGCTCCTCTCTGTTCGCACTAACCCACTGCATGTGTTCACAGCAGGACCAGGGGCAGGAGTCTCTGCAGGAAGAGTTGGATGTGTTGGTTTTGGATGATGAGGGGGACCCGGTGTCTTACCCCTCCATGGTATGTCCTCCAGCCACTCGCAGACTGGCCCGGGAAGGAGCCCTGTGTGCCAGCCATTGCCAATCACCCCTCTGATCAGGCGGAGATGCGAGTCTCAGCTCTGGGCCGGGGCTCTGCTTCTGTGATTGTTACCCCTGAGAGGCTGGGCCTCTCCGCTGGTGGTCTGCTTCTCCATGATGCGGTCGCTTCTTGTCTTCCTCCAGATTTGCTCAAGTGTTTTCCCCGCCTTCTTATTCCCAACCCAGTTAACAGCCTCTTTCTCTTTTTTCCCTGCAGCAGAAGATTTAGCACCACTATCTCTGCTCCACCTGGGCTTATAATATATGTACTTTTATTTTTTGGTGGTGAAATGGACTGATGATTTTTTCCTTTCTTCGCTGGACTATTGTGCCAACTGCCAGGCTGCCTCCTGCCCTTTCAGCCCCAAGTGGCTGCCTTCATTCCATCGACTCCCAACTTCTCGCAGTGAAGTTTAATTGTCCCGCCCCCATCCCCTCTCAGCCCCTGGGTTTCTGCCGAGGAACCTGACTGTTGTATGCATATCCCGAGAAACTGCTGCAGATGAGCTCTCTGGCCGGCTCTCCTGGAATCGGCCTCGTGTGGAGGGAGGGAGGGAATGGGAATCTGCACTGGAAGCCATGGGGAGCATCAGAAGTTCCGTTCTGTATATGCAATGTCCAGCAATCTGCTACACGGATGATTCTTAGTCAAGATGATTTTCCTGGTGGGGAAGGGACTTTTTATTTTCTTTTGGAGAGTGGGAAGTGTGAATTCTTCCTCATTCCAGTGGCTGTTGTGGAGTAAGAAGGCTGACATCATTGGCACATCCCACCTGGCAAGAGCCCTTGAGTCACGGAAGGTCTCCTCGCACTGGGGTGGGAAACCCTTGCTCTCCTCATCTCTGAGGCAGGGAGCTCAAGGTCCACAGACTCCATCTCTTAGCTGAGCCTCGAGCCAACCCCAGGCTGCCGCTGGCCCTTGCTGAGGCCTCCTGAGCCTCCTCTCCACCCTGCGGTGCCCGCCGACTCGGCCTGGCCATCTGCAGGAGGCTGTGTCGAGGAGGACATCGAGGAAGACTGGTGGCGAAGGGAGGGAAAGATGTCTTTTGGGAAGAAGAGGAACCTTCAGGAGGAGCCGGAAGGGAAGTACCAGAAGCGGTTAGTCTGAAACGGGCAGGAAGCTTCAAAGCTGGCTCTCCTGCCCCATTTCTCCTTCCCCACCCTCTGAGCCTGTCCTCCCTGCCTCCTCCCTGGATTGGTTGGCACCTACAGGACTTGATGTACAGAACTGCTGTCCCCCTCCCTTCTAAGGTGGCGATCGCCCCGGCTCTGCCTCCTCTCTGTGCCTTTGGCCTGGGTGCATCTCCTCCCTCCCTTCCATGTGCCTTTCTTTGCCTCTGCAGTCTCATTGTTCATGATTTTTTGAGTTAAAATATTTTGTTGCTTTCTTACCCACGATTGGCCCTCAACAGCAGAAAGGAGAGGAGAGGTGACTAGAGAACCCCAGATTCTCCAGTAGGGATGGGTGTAGCTCTGATTTCCGCCATGGCAAGCTCTTCTCACAGCATGGGGTTGGGGTTTTGTGAAAATCTCCTCCTGAGGGGTCTCTGCGGCTGGCAGGAGGGGTGAGCAGTGTGGCCAACTGAGTGCCCAGCGTTTGCCATCCCTGGGAAGGGGCGCTTGGACACAGCCCGGCCTAGGCCCTGTCACTCGTATACATGAGCAGGTTGACTGCTACATGGGTTGATTATTTTTCTTTTAACCATTTTCCTTATTTGTGTTCTACTCCCCTTAATCTGAAAGCTCCGTTCGGTGCAACTGGAATTCTTTCTCCCTCTTCCCCTTTCTTCCCTTGCATATTGAGGCTGTGGGGTAGGAGAAAAGTACACACCCACCAGCCCCTTCCCCCCCACTTCTCCCCACTGCTGTCCACCTTCTCTGGCCGCAAGGAGCCTTTGCTGTCCGTGACCTCAGAGCTCACTGCACAGGGCACCTGACCCCATCCGGACCTGGCTCCGCTCTCGCTTTCTCTCGTCCTCCTCTGCTCTTCCTGGTGCTCTTTTCTTGGTGGGGTGTGGGTCATAGAATAGCCATGGGCTTTGGGGGACCTGTAACTGTTTTTGTTTTCCCATTTTCATTTATAAAACACTAAACATTCGTCTCCAGAGAACCAAAAATCCCACCTTCCCACTGGACACTAGGGGCGTGTCTTCTGCTCCACACGTTTGCTCTTTTTCTTTTCTTTCTCTCCTGTTAATGCTTTTAAAAACAAATGAGTTTTTTATATAAATAAAGTTTTTAAAGTGTGTATGTGGGAGGTCTGTGTCATTTCTTCACTCGCAGCTGCATTTCCTCCTCCTCTTCACCCTGGTCACTTCCTCATGTGTCAGTCTTGTTTTCTCCTGAGCAGCCAGACGGCGCTTACATCAGGGTGGATTTATTTTGAGCTCAGTCCCAGCTCTTATCAAGCAATACTTTTTAATTTTATACGAAACATTTTTTTTTTCCTCTGAAGAGTCTTAAAAATTAAATGTGGCCAAAGTGGAGCGCTGGGAGCTCATTGCTGACTGAGAGATAGGAAATGGCAGTGTAAAGAATTAATGGCATCCTTAGTCCCTGGGATTCGTATGGATCATTTGACAAAACTAACACAGGATAAAGCCCTCTGCAGCGCGTGACCCTCTCGGACACAACGCTCTGAGTAGATTAGAAGCCTCCAGCCCCAGCTGCCATTCCCACAGGTGTGCAGATGTAGACTCGAAAGGCCCATGTACAGATCACCAGGTCGTCATGTTGCTTCTCGGGCCATGTGTCTTAGGGCTATTTGACAGTCCACGCTGGTGGATAGGATAGAAAAAGGTGTCCTACCAAGCGCTGTGGCGTGTGTAGCAAATACTCACTGGGTTACCCAAGGCTGCTTTTCCTCGGATGCCAAGGATTGTGGTCTATGGGAAGAGACTTATTTTGGGGGCACCCTTATGTCCTGTCCTATGACTTGAAAACCTCCAGAGAACCTATGTAAAATGCTTTCTGTATGCCCACATCTTTAGATTAAAGTTATATAGCTGCTCCTGACTTGGTGCATTTTATTGAACTAAGATTTAGGTTTGAAACTTTCTTGGGGTCGTGAGACTTGGAAACTCATCACTGCAGTTTGCTTTGTGCCTGACATCTGTAGTCTCAGCACAAATCCAAAAAGCTGTCAAGAGTCTGCTTTCTGAAGCAGTTTGGGAGCCAGTCCCACCTGAGACTGTTACTGTTGGTAGGAAAACTTGGCTGTACTGGTCAGCAGCCTATTTCCCTGTTACACTCTTATCATTCACTGGCATTGAGCTAGGTACACACCTTACCCTTCTCTGTTAGCTAGCCCTGGATTAGTCCATTTGTTTTTGTTCGTGTTGTTTTTGGAACCAGGATTTGAACTCAGAGCCTCACACTTGTCAGGCAGGCGCTGTACCACTGAGCTTCATCCCTGGCACACAGTCGATTTGTTTATCTCATTCAGTAAATGTGCTGGGTGTGCCTGTGGAGGTTAGAGTTAAATTAGAGGATGAAGCAGATGGGTCCTTTCTCATAGATTGCACTCCGTGAGACTCAGGTGGCTGAGATCCAGGATCTTTAACACATCTCTCTTTGCTCTTATCTAGAGTGAGGTGTTAGCAGTATCTCCACTTTCTCTGTGCTGATGTAATGCTTTTGAAGCCTCTTGATACCTGTTGCTCACCTGAACGTTAGGAAGCTTTTGGATTTTGTCTGAGATTTGCCCATGTACTTCCATGTACATCCTGTAGGGCCTGAATTTTTCTGGACGTGCTTAAAGATGAGGCTGACCACCGTATGGCAGCAGCGGGACTTTTTTCTGAGCATGTTTGTGAGTCTCGCTGTGACCGCCCTTGGTCACTCTTTCTCGCTAAACCAAGTTACTTTGCACTAGAAACATTTCACCCAGGGAGAACTGAGGACCAGATCTCTGTCGTCATTCTTTCTCATCTTGCCCATCTTAATATCTGACGTAGATGGAGTTACAGGGCAACTAGACCTAGCTTTGTAGATCTGAGAAAGTGCAAAAGAGTCACCTGTGCTCTTTGTTGCAAATGTGGATTCTGAGGGC